AGACCGGAAATGATTTCTAGTATGGTTAGTACTTGAATTGGCATATCATTTATTTTTTAGCCACGTTTAACGTTTTCTTACAATGCATCCTTTTTCATCTTCCAAAAATGGTTTATCTTAAATTTGGTATATTTACTCGTTCTTGATCGTGGTATTATGTATAAAACTGACGTTAATAGGTATTTTGTGGTTGCGGAAGTAGTATGATAGAGAAAGAGAAAAAAAATGGAAATGCGTATAAAAAAACGTAAGAGGGGGTTTTGATGGCTTAAAATATTGCAATTTCTGATAGTTGTTACGATTTTAGGAGATTAGAATTGTGTCTTTCTTTGAATGACTGATTGCATGTTGTTTTACATCTCTTTTGAGAATGATTACTTCTTCAATAGGTTAACACAAAATAATGAAATTGACATTTTGTTGTTAAGACTCAATGTTTCTTTTTTTCACATAAAACTTTCGTGTGAATGTATGTGCTATTCACATAAACCAGAATAGTACATGCAGTAAAACTTATAACGAATTCACTGAAACCTATGATATTACTTCATTATATCCGTAAATCATTATTTCCGGAAAAAAATAGCTGGGGATTTAAGATATTTTTGCCATATCCGTAAAATCGAAATATCCGCGTTCGTACGAAACGGGTTTTACTGTATTATATCGAAATTAAAACAATACCGATACTTTATTTTTTTTCTGTAGTCCGAATACCAATGCTGCTGTCAGGTTGTGGCAAACTTTTTCTCCGCCCACAAAGATGACATTTATGAAAATGCTCAAGGACGACAGGAGGTTACCAAACAGGAAGAAAATATTTACGCCAATACAAGTTCTTAGAATCTCAGTTTGTTTCTGTGTTATCAAAGTGTTATGATGTTTATATGGAATAGGGAATGTATTAGAACATTTAGTATTATTATGATATATATTCTCACATGCAACTTTAAGAATATAAACTTTGAAACTCTTTCAGACATTCAATATGTTAATTTATTTAGATATACCAGGATAAAGTAGATATTAAATATACTTATGTAGAACTACAGTGTATTGTGTATAAAATGCATATATTTGAAAGAATATAGGTTATGAAACAAACTTTGCAGTGAAAAAGGTATATAGATGTAGATGCTGGCAGATTGATCAAAGACAGGACATAAAAAGATGGAAACATTCTTTTTATTAGAAAGTTATGTTGTCTACAATTTACAATGTACATTAAAATATTATCTTTATATTATTCATGTCAAGCTTTGTTTTTACTTGTTCATTTTCTTTATCAATAATAGAAAAGGAAAAATTGTTAATATGATGGCCTATTATTTTACTTCCATTGTCTTTATATGTAAGTAAGGGCAAATTTGATTCTGCAAATCACCCTTAAATTTAAATCAATTGTTAATAGATTTTTTTCTTTCTGTTTTAAGTTTTGTAATAGCAGCGTTTTATTGATACATTTATATTTTCAGGAAATGGTTAACATCTAATAAACGATTCATGTGTACACACATGATTATAAATTTTGATAACCGTTGAAACAATTTCAATTTGTTAAAGATAAACTTTAAGGAAAATTAAAATAATTTTTTCAGTAGAATTACTATCATTAAAATGAATAAAGTCTGATTGATCTTACATTGTACAAATCCAAACTTTTTAGAAGGTCTTTGAGCATCATAAAACGCTACACAATAATTTTAAAAATGCGACGAACGATAGGTAATTAATTTTGATAGAAATGATTTTATTAGCAGCGTACGTCGTGTGAAATAAAAGAAAATAAATAATTTTTATTTTCTGCAAACCTTTCAAAACAACGATTCCAATATATTTAAGATAAATTTAATATAATAAAATGTATAAGGAGAACTTGCTACCAAGAGAAGTTTCATAAGCTGACATTTTAATGTCCTTAAAAATAGTTTTTAAAAAAGTAATATTTTCATTAATTATTTTTACAAGCTATAGTTTTTTTAGGACTATATATTTTCATTTGAAAATTTCAGTTTACTTTTTATGCATTTATTATTTTGTTTGTTTTATTTATTGTATTCCTACTCTTTCATAAAAGCAAAATAAAACAAATATAAAAATGATTTCTTAGCAGTTGTGTTTCGTAAATGATGTTGTTGCAATTTCAGTGGCAGTTATATTATTTTAATGAGTTTGTCTCAAATTCAATTATCAATTCATCTTACTGTTAAAATTTGCAAACATTGAACTTGAATGACGAAGTTTTTTTAGCATACGTATATCTATTTATTAGGAACGAGTATTACCTTCACATTGATAAGAAACCCATTACGTACTAGATAATTTATATTTGTGTTGACATAATTATCTTTTGAACGCATTTTAAAATTCATTAAAACATAGATAATACATATCGTTGAAATGTTTTTTTTAATTCGGAGAGTGTCAATTTTTATTGCTTCTAAAGAAAACAGACGCGATTAAAGAAATAAACTAGAGCACTCTACACCAATCATTTGCATTTGGAATTATTTTAGAAATTACATTCTAGTGTGCTGTGTATTATATGGAATCAACTAATTTAGTTATTTTGAAAAGAAAGGAAACATACTGCGGTGACGTCTATTGACAACTTTGCAAGTTAGTAAATGACATTTTTTTTGTGACATACTTATTTCATGCTTTGATTCTTAAAATACTTTAATTTGTTTTACATCGATATTAATTAAACACAAAGTTCACGGTAGCTATTATAAGGCTTGTATCATCTTCATTTTACAGAAATTTCGAAACTACACTACAGCTAAGTAGATAATGCTTCTTTGGTTAGATGTATACTAATTGTCATTTCCCCACTTCCTGGTATGAAAGCACTTAATGTGAGAGTGTCAAAGTACTTCATGTTAGGTGGACGTACTATTTGTTCATATACATGTCAATACTTTACATGGTCGAAATACGTCTTACATACTAGTAATTTTCTTCTTAAGCAAAATTTCAAATATGAAAAGACATATTTTTGTTATGTTCTTCTTTTCATTTATTTTTTTTTATTAATTGAAATTGGAAGCAAAATGAGAGAAAGATTCTGACTACATTTCTTAGGCAGGTATATAATATGTATCAATATACAATTAAAATAAATCTTAAATGAGGTCTGTTATTTTGTAGTTCGTATGAAAACTTTCATTGTAAATAATAATTTAATTAGCTGTTATTGACCATCTGTTTTTTTTAATTTATTATACATTAATTAAATTAATTATCTTCCTGATATCTTCGTCCTATTTTTTGACTTAATTCTCGCTCTCCTTTATTTGAGACTATCATACTCTACGCTTTTCTTCTACAATAGCTCTCTCATCTTTAACAAACCAACAATAAGTTCATTTCTAGTAGAGTTTGCTACAAATTATGATCTAGCAAAAATGTAGAGTTAGACAAATATATCTCTTTCTCGGAAAATGCTCTTTTCAACAAATTAAACATTTATTTAAAAATAAGCTAATCTTCAAAGCATTGAAGAAACTTAAATACAATGATCTGGTGTTTATGTTAAATAAAGTCACAAGAAACCTCTACACGTGTTTTCAATATAACAAGGAAGTATAATACGATAAAATAAAACTAGGATCGCCGTGAAATATCTTCACATATATATACTTGATACATAATAAACCAACTATTTATAAATCAAAAGGAAGAAAAACACTTTGGAAAGCATAAAAATATGTACAATCAAAGCTGCGCGTTCTCATATGGGACGACGGATAATATTTGACTTGAAAGAAGGAAGAAACTAATCTGATTCTTTTGAGTCTGCAGGAAAGGGAAGCTTAAACAAACTGTGTTGACCGGATTCAAATGGAATGTCTTACTAGTCAGTGACTCCCCTGTTGTGTGGACATATTTATAATTTCAAACATGGAGATTGTATTTTCAATTTATTTTTTGCTACACTTTTCTACCAAAGTGAGCTCTTTTGGTAAGTTGAATGATTTTTATTATTTATCATATCGTTATGTACATGTAGAGGGACAGGTCTCATTTATTATAGATCATGAATTTTGTCGAATCGAATAATTCATAAACAAGTACTAAATGATTGTTAACTTTGAAAAAAGTCATAAACAAATAGATGACTTAGGTGAAATGATCGTAAGGTTTTCCAGATCAAGAGTTAAATTAATGAAATACAAAGTATATTTTACCAGCAGCGTCGGAAACCCAGGGGTGATCTCGTCTTTACTTATCACCCGTGGGTAAACTCGCCGAAAAATCGTCGTATGTAATTAAATATGAATGGGTCATTTGATTGGCCACATAGTTCACGTTACGTATGCATGTTCGGCATTGCCAAAAACATAAAAAACTCATTCCTTAGTTAACACAGCTGACAAAGCCACTCACCGGTGCATTTTCCAGTTAGAAAGAGGTACTCCTTCATAATATCTGACGGATATTAATGTCAGTGACCTGTACGAATTGACTTTCATTGTTTTAAATCAAACTTCGCAAGTTTTAACGAGCGTCAAAATATTTACCATAAATAGCAAAGCAATAAACGTATTTTTCAAAATTGAAGAGTTCTAACTTTCTGATTGGTTGACTAAAAACAACAAATTAGCATATTTTACGGCGATATTTCAGCTAGTTTGCCCACGGGTGATAAGTAAAGACGAGATCACCGTGGAGACGTGGAGACGACGAACAGTATTCAATATCAAAATCCATAAAACAAAACAAAATAGGAGCAGAGCTATAACAGAACTCCGAAACATCAGAGGTGGGATCAGGTGCTATGGAGGAGTAAGCATCCCCTGCCGACCGGTCATATTCGCCGTGTGCTTGTCATGATCAGGAAATAACGGGAAAATCCAGTCAAATCAGTGTATAAATAATGGACTAACAATTAGTAAGAAAAACGTCAGTCAGCATTTGTCTCAATGATAAATTGTATTTGCTGACAAGGTCATTGTATCGACAAAAGAAACAAATAATATAAAATAGAAGTGAAATATGTCATTTAATAAAGTAAATGGCGAAAGAACTACCGACACACTTACTGAAACAAAATGAGAGTTCGGTAAGAAATAAATTCAAATATAGCGTAGTACACATCTTGAACAATATATTGCACAGTCTTACTCCCGTCCCAGCACCATCTTGGTAATGTAACATGATGTACATAGGAAAAACGGGGTTCAACCAGACTAGAATACAAGTCAAAAAGATCCCTAATAAACATCATAAGATTTAAAAACCATATTTAAGATTCACTAAAATGCTACCTGCAACCTGCGACCTGCCTTCAAAGCCTCAATTACAATATTTTTTTTCTTTAGTCAGATAAAAAGTTTAAAAGTTATCTTTCTTGACTAAATAGAATACATATATATCCGTAAGTTTTTAAGACTCTGAATAATTCAAATGTTAAAAAATGAATACGTTATAAAATAAAGTGCTCTTATAATTTTATGATTGGATAAAACACTACTTTGTGTTTTCTTATGCAGAACAACTTATCAAACCCGGAATGACAGTGGCTACAAGTAGTTCTGTCGGATGGGGAGGCTTTGCAAACAAGACAGTCGATGGAAACTATTCACAGAATAATTATACATACTGCATGCATACAGAAAAAGGACACCGAGAGGCATGGCTGAAAATTGACTTAGGGGATGTTTACAATTTGAAGAGTGTCAAAATATGGTACAGGGCTGACAGTAAGGAATTATTTTTTTAGTTGTAAGATTACATGAGTAATCTGTTAAAAAAAATATAAAAACACGGTGGGAGAGGGGTCTTGTTTCACTAACATTATATAAGTAATATCTTTATCATATATTCCGTATTTGTTTGTTTTAATTGTGTGAAAGTAATATTGATAATATATTCGTAGAATCTTTGTAGTACACACGTTTTATTTCGAGAAGTCTTTTTTTCTCCTTAATTAAATAATCTTTTTATCTGTTGCAATTTAAAAATGTTTAAAAAATCACACTATAATGTTTAAGTAAAAATAATTATTTGTTCATTATATACATTAAAGATTGATTGATTGATTAATTGTATGTTGTTTAACGTCCCTCTCGAAAATTGTTCACTCCCATGGACAAATCATGTCACCACTTTCCAGTGGAAAGCGATTTTTTTTTCTATACACGGCATTCATGATCAGGGCCATTGAGTACTGAGGGTTAAATACATTAAAGAAGATTTTGTCGCAATAAGTCAAGTACAATGCATCAGTACATGCCCTGTGATTACATGTATCATTCTATTATAAATAAAAAAGAATCTACGATGGCTTAATATTAAGAAGAAAGTTAGTTGACAAAATGTTTTTCACATGTTTTTTTCATCGTTATTTATACAATTCTTATTTCAGATAAGATTGAAAGTGTAAACACCAAAAGATTAAAAGGGTTTTCTATCCGTTTGTCCAAGTTACCGGAACTAAATTCCAGTGAAATATGTTATCAGGATCCTGGAAACGAATCACTTCCTATTATGTTATCGAGGTTCTGTAAAGGTGTAGCTCGGTACGTATGGTTCTACACGGACAAAGACAATGGTGGTGGGGTGTTCCTGGAAATATGTGAAGTGGATGTTTACGGTAAGAAAAAATAATGGTTTGAGTGTTTTGGACACTTGCTTTACAGTGTTTGTATTTGAGAAAAATTTGATAATTACATTTCACGATTCTGAAAATCATACTTTACTTGAAATTCATCATTGTCAATATAATCAACATTTGATGAATTTTTTGTCCGTATTCAATGATATAGGTTGTCCAGAAAAACATTCTGGGGAAAATTGTTCCAAATGTAATTATAGTTGTTATGATACCTGTGATATCATAAATGGAGAATGCAGCTGTACCAAACCGGGCTACGAACCTCCTGAATGTGTCAAACGTATATGCTATCTTCTAAGATATTTCACCAAGGTATTTGATACATTATCACATGTATTTTAAAATTACATCATTCTAAATCTTTCATTTTACTATTGAATATAGAGTGTCCGAAATGGTGGTATGGACCTAACTGTAAGAATCGTTGTGAAAATTGCAAAAAAGGGGTATGTGACCATGTAACAGGAGATTGTGAGAAGGGCTGTAAGAATGGATGGAAAAATGATATTAAATGTGACCAGCGTAAGTTTTTATCAATTACGAGGCAATATGTGGTCTCCATAATTATTTCATACGCGGACAAGATATAAAATTCTTTGTATACAAATACATATATGTTATAATAAGATAGATAGATTGAAATATATATAACTGAATTCAAATAAATTACTAGTTTGTAAATTAATAAATGAGTAAAAAAAATAGATTATTTATTGATCTAAATAGATGTTTAAGCGAAGAAAAACATTACATGTTTAAGACTCAAAAGTTCAATGGTGATGCGATACCCCAACGCAAATAGTAATGATTGCTTTTTACTTCAACAAATAAGTGCTCTCTCTCTCTCTCTCTCTCTCTCTCTCTCTCTCAATTACACATACACATCTTACAGCATATAAAGGTCAATTATTAAAGTCGTTAGCAACTGTAGCAATTAGGAAATATAGAGTTATTCAAGTTGTTGACTTCTAAGTATCATAAAGAGAAAATGACTTATTTTCACGTGGTACCAAATCTATGAAAGATTATACTTTAAGAATTCTTTTTGTAATATAAATATCTTAAATGCCTAATAAACCATCTACCCCCCCCCCTCCCTCCACCCCAACAAAAAGACATGGATATGCTTGTTTAGTTTTATTCAACCTGTCTCAAAATTCTACAGTTAACATTTAACGACATGCACAGCGTAATTTGATTTTTGGGCTTTTCCCCTGGAGTTGAATAGTTCCAATGCTTAAAGAAATTCTGTGTTTCCTTTCAATGTATATCAATGCTGTTGTTTGTGATTCTCTCAAAACAACTTTGAATGCAGATCTAGAAAATATATTTATTAATTTTAGTGCAAGTTAACATTTTTTATCAAAATCTCTGATAAGGTATGCTGGTTTTTTGTCTATGAATACCTTGAAAAATTATCAGGTAAAGCATGCTGCGTATGACCTTAATAGATCGAGCTTTTGATTACATATTTTATTTTGTAACATATGTGTACCAAACACACCATATTTAGATTAACATTTTTGAAAATCAGAAATATCTATTTGCTAAAAGAATTTCTTTATTGGGAAAAATTGACAAAATGATGAATCTGTCGACGTCTTTCAGGAAAACCATCATAAAAAAAGCATTGTGATAGAAAAATTGGTAAAGAGCTAAATCCACGAATGTGCTAAATCGGCCTAATGATTTTAGGAAAAATAAAGTGAGGGGAAGAAGAAAATTATTTACGGAAATATTATCCTTAGGTATCAAACTTGAATAGTTTACACCAAAATTTTCATTTGATGACGTCATATTTGTGTAGAAAACGTCTAAACACGTGAACTTTGCCACTTTTTATCAAAATTTAGCATTTTATTCGTCTTTGATTCAAATTTTTGCTGTGGCCACACCCTTTGAACAAAATAAAATTCACACCATTAAAAAGAAAATTAAAAAATAAACAAATAGAATGTCATTTTATTTTGTTCGAGGGGTGTGGCCACATCGAAATATTTAATTTTCGTTCGATTCAAATCTCTTCGCACCGACCACCAAAGTGGAAATAATGGGGGTTTACCCAAATTAATTAAAAAGAAACAAGATTATATGTTGCTTTTGTAAATTTTAATTAGTTTTTAAATGCAAATATACCATTTATTATAAGTTATTTTGTGTTGTGGTGCAGAAAAAAGTACGAAAGTCTCTCGGAGTCTCTATAAGCATGAATGCATGAAGATGCAATAATGGTGACTCATTCCTAACCCAAGACTTTTTAGTCAAGCGCAGCTGATCTAGGTTTACATTATCATTGATTAGGCTGAAATATTTTCAAAAAATGGATACTCTTTCCCCCAAATCTTATTTATTTCACAAACAATGTATTGATGTTTTATCTCCCGATCTCGTCTACATGGTCACTATGTAATCAAAGGGAGATCACCCGAGAAACTTTATTGTCACCAAGTCGGAATTAGTCCTAGAATATATTTTTAACATAAACAATTACATCGGTAGCAACTACCAGGATGTATATATAAACTGAAAATTATTGCTTTACTCCTTTACAAAACACAAATTGTGTATGTCGTGAAGTCTGCATCGACTGGCTTCATAAATGATAAAAATGATTTACGTTTGGCTGAGTCAAGATACAAGCGCACAAAGCCACAGGCCCTATCCGAAACCAACATGCATTTCAGAAACTGCTGTTTGCATTTCAAGAAGACCGCTTAATTTTAAAAAGTTTATTATGAAAAATATTTTCCGATCCGAGAGTTTATTACATATGTAGGCCTAGCGAAGTATTGAACCTAGAAAATTCGAGTTGAAAATTCAAATAGATCTATTGAAATAAACAATTTGCGAAAATATATTGATTTTTGATCGCGTGTAATTTTTGTGATGGGCCTTTATTAGACTAATACAATGTACATTGTAAAAACGAATAACTTACTACATGTACCGAGATAGTGACAACTCTTTATGGTTGCAGGTAATTCCAGTCTCGCCTTCATGCCACATGAAAAAAAAGTAAAAGGGAGGCTACTTGTTTATCTCTTTTTATTTTGAGTTACTCCTCTCAAATGTAACCTGTTCAACTTCAGGTCTAAGGGAAAGAGGGCAGACAAGATTAGCAAGTCAGTTTATGGTAGAGTACATTCTTATAGGAGATAGAGCCTGGACATAAAATGAGAAGCTAAGAGAGAGTGAGGTCTCCTAATGAAAAAAATTAGCCTGAGGGTAATGGGGGGGGGATATTTGGATCCCCACAATATCACTCATATGACAAATCATTACAGTACTGATGTGTGACAAATAACAATGCAGATAACTTAAGTACTTGTTTATAAGACAATGATATATGCAATGAATATGCCAATAAAGATATTACAGGGATACAGTAATATTTAAAAAGAAATTAATAATTGAATTGCATTTTCATTTATTTTAAAAAATCGGTACTGATGTTTCGTGACTTGGTCATTGGATTAATTCATTATACCGGTATGTCCCAATTGTAAATACATGTATCATAAACGGATTGAACTGGTAATTTTACCTGTCTGTCATTTTTGTTTTCTTGAAATAAAGTATAGAACATCATAGATAGGGCGTTTGTCTCTGATTCATTCAACGTGGTATCCGGGGGGGGGGGGGGTTATGGTAAGGTAATATTTTGCTTGGTTTCAAATGACACAACGATTTTTTTTTTCACCCCGCATATATTTTGAAAGAACATCGGCGTTGTCACATGACAAAGATTCATGATATTTGCACGTGAAGTTAGTTTCGTTTATTATACCTCTACTGAATTTTCCCTATATAAAATTAAGTGATTAGATCTGAACAATTCCATAGAAATCGCTGTGAATCAGCTAATCCTCGTGCGTTAGTTTTTGAGCTAATCTCTTCGTCGATAGCTAGTCATGCTAATCCTCGTGCGTTAGTTTTTTTTTTTTTTTAGCTAATCCCTCTGTCGAAAGCTAGTCATGCTAAGTCGCGGTTATCCGTAATCCTCTAGTTTTTCAATAAATATAAATTTTGATTTTATTCAGTTATGAGAATATTGATTAGTTATATAATCTGTAAATATTAAAATTTTTTTTAAGGTCCCCCCCCCCTATTTCAACACGCACTTGTCGCAGTCTAGTCAAAGAAGGGGAAGTGTAGATTTTTAAAATAAAACGTGGTACTGAGAGAAGTTTGGTAAAATTTTTCACTTTGATTTATAACGTTTTTATCGTTCATTGGTGGATTTATATAAATTAAGTAATTTACATTAAATAATTGGTTTACGTGCCATTTCCGTTCATCCAACTTCGCAATTAAGCCCTTAGCGAGCGAAGATGGTGGTTATTTTTTAAATTTTGTAATTTAAACACTTTGGAAATCTTGTGTTTTCATTTTGTAATTTTTGTAAAGGAAAAAGCTAATTTTTGCGGCCGATTTTATGCTTAGCAGGCACGAAGCAACAAACGGGGGGGGGCACTTTTTCCCAACATTACCTATACTATTGAATATGTTTATTGAAAGGTTTGTGCCCCTCCCCCACTTCTTACCATAGTAAAATGATGTCAGGGAAATGTAGTATTGTTTGCAAAACAATTGGTAGTGAAAGAAAGTTGACATTTAAAAAAGTTCCCCCACCCCTCCCCCATGAAATTGGATTTTCGAGTTTGAGTAAGTTCTTTTTCTTTTTCTTTTTTTTTTATTTGCTTGTCAAGTAAGTGAAAAAAAATTCTCTGGCCGCCCCCCCCCCCCTCTTTTCTCTTTCAAAGACGATGCTACGTGCGCCTGCTTTGCATCAATTTTGTTTAAGAGTCTACTATTGTGGTTTCTCTCCTAAATATATATACTGCTCTGTGTGCGTAAGATACATATGTAGCCTTCAATATTGTCACTATTTTTCGTGTATTACATGTAAAAACTGTGTACATATCAAATCTTCAGGAAATGCCATAAATTAAGGAAGTGCAGCGAAATCTTTAAATGACAATATAATAAATGATGATTTAACAACAAACATATTCATTTTTTATTAAGCATTTTTTTTAAGCTTGATGTTTTCGTTATTAAAGAACACTTGTCTATTCTCTGTCAAAATCTCTATTTTTTAAGTTTGTATGCCGTAGGACCATATAATAACACATTTAAGGATATTAAAATCCGTTTCCTCCATGGCTACCATAGTATATATTGTACTACAAAAAATTCAGTTTTACTCAGATATGATAAATTTACACTTTGTGTTAGTGTTTAACTTAATCTGCCCCTTATTTTCATTTAAAAGGTGTTGCATGTATCCACGGTTTTTCCACTCAATCATTATTTATAAATATATAACAACTAGTTCTCATTTCTTTGAATTACAGATAAATTAAAAAAAAAAAAACAATCCATTTTTCAGAACTTCTTAAAAATTCATAGAAACATTGTCCTAAAATTTTAAGATTTTGAAGAATGGCCTATATTGTTGAATTTATTCCATAAACGTTTATGTGTTATTTTTATACAAAACGTCAACGTCACGGTGTTGAAGCATATAACGTCAACGTAATGACGTGACAGCATTGATTAAGAAAACAATGCTAAATTGAAACGGCTGTAAAAAGAAAACCAGAAAAGATATTCTTAAAAAATAAAATGTTTTACAACAGACAAATCTTCGAGTATAATTTCAGGAAGTTTCACTTATTTTGATGACTAGGCGGATTTTTGCACTTCGTGAACTTAGCTCTTTAAAAAGGAAATAAAATGAAAATCGGTAACTAGTATTTAGAAATCGATGTGAACAAAAAAAAAAACCAACAGCAGATCCTTGAGAGAATGGGTTTCCCTATATGTATGGATACTGTTGTAACCAAATTAATTTATACACACATAGGTAATGCCTCTAGTCTAAAGATCACTTTTCTGTCTTTCGAACATGAATCCTTAATGCTTAATGATTTTAACGTGTTACTCATCATTCATTTCAGCATGTAATAAGGGTTATTACGGTAAGAATTGTTCGAAATCCTGTGGACGTTGCGCAAACAAAAAAGCATGTAATTTTAAAAATGGCAACTGCCCTTCTGGAAAGTGTGAACCAGGGTGGACAAGTACACTGGGAAAAAACGGAAGAAAGGGAAAAAAATGCGATCAAGGTGTGTATGTACTTTCAAATTTCATAGAACCGGTAGTCTTTTAATATACATTTAACAGTTATATTATTTATTTGGTTTTTAGAATGTCCGAATGGAACCTTTGGATTGAACTGTAAGCATAACTGCAGTGGACATTGCACAGGAGGATTGTCATGCAACAAAACGACCGGGATCTGTGATGCTGGTTGTACAAATGGATGGAGAACTCCGCGCTGCAGTAAAAGTAAATTAATTTTGTACAATTTGTAATAAATAAATCTGAAAATTAGACTTTTCTTTGATCGCTAACTTGTATGAGTAACTTGTGAGATAAATTTCTATTGTTGAGCTTTGTAACAAATGCAAATATTCAAAGATTTAAAGAGCTTCACATTTAATTTTTTTTCTATTAAAAGTAACATTTAAGATGACTTCAACTTTGAACATGTAGGGAAACTGAGTTTTGTTTCTTCGAAGTTAAAAAGTATCATTTCATCATTCATTGAATAAACGATTTAATAGATTTATTAAAAGAAATTAAATTTAAGACAAAGAGTCATTCTTTGAAGGGAAATATTCTTTTGATATAAAATATTTCACTTTGAATATTTTATTACTAATGCTTGCGACAATGAAAAACTATGGGTGTTGTTGTTATATGCTACATGTAATTATTGTATTTATAATATTTACAATTTGCCAGGTATATGTTTATGTTGGACTTCATGGTAAACGTTAGCACTTTTTACATTTAAGATTATCTTTAAAAAATTCTCTTTTTTATTAATTTTATAATTTTTTTTGCACTTGAGCTCTAACTTCCAGTGTGTTCGATATTTCAGAATACATTGTGAAATATTAAATATTGTAGAATGCAATGAAGGCTTTTATGGAAAGAACTGCATTAATCCATGTGGACACTGTGCCAACAAATCAGCATGTGATCACGTGACAGGTTTCTGTCCATTAGGAAACTGTGCACCCGGATTTAAAAGTTTCTCCTATAAAAGCTGTGATAAAGGTATGGTGGTAACATTTTCAAGATGTTCATGATCTTTAATTAGAGAAAAATTGTTTTCAATTACATATTTTACTTCAGAATGTGATGACAAAACGTTTGGAAAAAACTGCGAGGAAACTTGCAGTGGACATTGTAGAGGGGGGTTGCCATGTAATAAAACAGACGGAAGATGTCCTGGAGGATGTGCAGATGGGTGGATGAATCCCTATTGCAATGAAAGTTAGTCAACATAAAAGAAATATAACAAAATGAGTATTTTAGCTTAACAGTCTAAGGTATACTGTATATAATTTTGCTCTATGCAATATAGATATATCGCTTCCTATTTGAATTCAAGTTATTTTAAGGTCTCACACAAGGACATAATTTAACTTTATATTTTTATATAGCTTGAATTAAATTATTTAATGAATTAGACTCTCAGCAGATAATTCATGACAAAGAAAATGAAGATTAATGCGTAAACAAAAATTTGAAATATGTGGCTTTCAATAATGAAAATTGACTGTAAACATACCTTTCCTGAAATACACGTGGGTTTCACATCTTGACAAATAGTCTACACACCGTCTAGGAAATTTCATCATGCACACCATAAAAAATTCCCTTTTAATTCAGTGGGATAATTCTGCTACAGATACGATATGCTTAGTACATGAGTCCAAATGTAATACTGTGGGCCTAAAAAAATGCCAAAAATTAAAAAAAAAAAAAGAATAAGTCCATTTTGTTTGGCTATTTCCTTGCGTATGACCTTTAAAATGCGATGGTGACATTTTTATCAATTCAAAAAGTAAATGTTGAAGGATTGCTTCATTTATCTTAAATGTATGAGTTAAAATGTATACATGTACTAGTAGTGTTTTGATAAATTGAAGTGAAATTGCTCTATGTTCTAAGGACCAATTTTGGCAAGAGGTATTTTTTTCTCTAATTGATCCGTAATTATCAATATATGGTGTCCTGAAACTTGTAGAAACTTGAATTAGATACACTGAACTCATAGTATAATCAATATAAATATTTTGTCTTTGTAAAATTAGAACCGATTTTATATATATGAGCGTATATATACATGTATTCGCATAATTCCTTTGAAACAAACTGTCATAACACATTATTCAATAAAAAATGTGTTCTAAACCTACAGTTTCTGTATTCTTCTGATATATTAATATTACATAAAAAAAAATTAAGCGCGACTTTTCGCGAAAACAAAATTCTTATACGGTACCAATGTTAATGCACGATATGATTTGGATATATTGTAGTACCCAAAGGGCTCTTAATTGATCTGCTTTGACCTTACATTTTTGTTCTTCTTTAACATTCTTTTGTTTTTGAAATGAGATTGTATTTATATTGAATATACATATAGTAATCTTAATTCATCTCAACCTAACTGACAATGGTTCTGCTTTTCAATTGGGAGGGATAACTGTTCAAAGTCTTTCATTTTTATAGTTCAATGTAACAAAAAAGAACCTTCTTTCTAGCGTGCAGTCATGGCTTATATGGAAGGGAATGTAGATTTCCCTGTGGTAAATGTGCCAGAAACGCACATTGTAACCATGTGAACGGTTCCTGTCCTTTCGGTGACTGTATGCCTGGATTTAAACAAAAAGACGACCAGAGATGCGATAAAGGTACATGTATATTGAGGATTCTTTTCAAATGTTTAAGTCTTGTAGAGAAAACATATTAATTTTTTGAATTAATCATTTTTCCAGAATGCGATAAAGGATCCTTTGGAGATTTCTGTGAGAAAAACTGTAGTGGACACTGTGCAGAGGGATTGCATTGCAACAAAACCGACGGTGTCTGCCCCAGAGGTTGTGAAGATGGATGGATATTGCCTAACTGCAATGAAAGTAAATATGAGTTGTATTTTAGGAAAGGATGATTATGGTGCATTCAGTTACGTGATTTATTTTAACGTTTGAAGATGTCTTGCAATTAGAGCCTATTATTTCTGGATATTTCACCATTGTGTTCATTTTTATATATGATCGGAATATATGAATACTGGAAAAGTGCTCTTGTACACTTTCACTTATTTTATATGCAAAAATGCATTGAGTAGTGCCTTACGTGTAGCATAGAGCATTCTAGGCTAAAAATATAATAGTTTTGCTGAAACACAACCCCCTAGATTACGAATTAAACACTCTAGTGGCTGTTATGAGCCACCAAAAGAAAACAAATCTGAACACAAAGTCGGAAACTAAAAACTTTACATTTTCAAAGGAAGAATATGTTATCTTTGTTTTAAATATATTTGAAACTATTCTAAGAAAAAAAATTGTTTGCAGAAGATGTTTTTCTAAACAGAAAACAATTGACGTACGAGGGCATTAAGCATTAACCTAATGTTTATCTGTCATATGTTGTCATGTATACATATTTTATTTCAAAGAACCACACAGTCTATACTATAAAGATTTTATACTGCATGGAAAAAGTATCTGCTATATTTACAGCATGCAAGAAAGGATTCTATGGTACAGTATGTAGTCTGTCCTGTGGATTTTGTGCTTTGAACGCAACGTGTGATCACGTGACCGGTTCCTGCCCTTCTGGTCTCTGCCAACCAGGATGGAAGAAAACACAAGATAAACGATGTGACAAAGGTAAAAAATAACCTACTTTAGTAAACAATTACATGTGTTTAGGTGACCCTTCGTTTACGTAAACTGCTAACAGCAGGTCAGCACACAATGTTTTCTTGTCAAATTCATTTTAGGCATCGATATACCTATATGTATCAACCACCTCGTGGACTAGAAAGCATTTTAAATTTAAAAGTTGAACTAAAGCCTTTGCTTAACTTAATGCACATTTTGTGAAACTTAATTTGATTTATAATATTAGTTTCATTTGGGTCCATCTTTGTTGATGCTGACATTTTCATGTTTAAAAGATACTTTAAAATAATTTGTCCACACATATATCCGTTTATAGAGTGTGAATATGGATCCTTTGGAAAGCATTGTATGTACAGCTGCAGCCGACAATGCAAAGAGAAATTACACTGCAATAAAATCAACGGGGCTTGTTTTGGAGGATGTAAAGACGGTTGGACAAATGACCAGTGCAATAAACGTAAGTAGACCAGATGATTTTGATTAAGATGAGAAAGACATAACTCAATAGACGGTTAGAATTTGGTTTGATTGGTTTTTGGCTCGTTTTATGTAAAAAAGCAATATCGTTATCATAGGTCAATTATGATAAATAATATATCTGCCTCTGCTTTGAAGGCAGCTTGTGGCAGATTAACAGATAATATTGTTTTCAATATCTACTCCATTAAAAATGATACGATCGAAAAAGATATTTATAGATTAAATCAGATATCGACACATGTACAATATAACTATAATAAACTTTTAAAAAATCAAACTCCTATCTGAAAATTGTTATTACAGCATGCAGTATCGGGTGGTATGGCAAAGACTGCCAGGAAAAGTGTGGTCACTGTGGAGGTACTGAGACCTGTCGTCATATCAACGGTTCCTGTCCAGGACAATGTGGACCTGGATATCAAGGAGAGAAATGTGACATCGGTATGTGTGTGATTATTTCAAGGCAACGTGCTTTATTTGTTCTCATACAAGTATTCATAAAATTATAATCATGCCTCATAAGGATATAAAAAATCTAATAACGGTAGAAATTCGATTTATTTCAATTAAATTGATTTTTGTCTTTGTCTATGATTTTGTATCTTCAAAAAATTTAAGTATGTGCTTTTAATTCAGAATGTGAGGACGGGGCATTTGGATTCAGTTGCAATAACTCTTGTGCTAAAGGTTGTTTGTCAGTCTGCAATAAGAAAATTGGAACATGTGATCAGTGCCTATCGGGGTATATAGGAGACTTCTGCAATATAACTGGTACACTAGAGTAAATATTACAAATGAAATTTGTTTCCTAAGGGGTAGAGAACTTGTATAAATGAATGTGTATGCATTTTCTTCATATTACATGTACATGTACATGTAACTAACCATTTGTATTAAATATGAACAAAAATTTTAAAATACGTCAATGTATCAAAAGATTACACAGCAATTTGTTATATTCATGTGTAAATACATATAAGTATTCTACACTGTCTGTATTTAATTTACATTCTCAAACTATACACTGTCAGTGTTATTAACTTACCGAACACCCTTATCAGAAAATTAGTAAAAAAAATATATTTTAAAAATGCTACTTTTATCAAACGTTGACTATTCTGATTTTCACGCATATGATGTTGTACTTGGTCAAACGAACATAATACGACATATCAACTACTTATCTATCTAGAATATGTAAAATTGCATTTAAATAATCATAAATAATAATCGTAAAATATGATTTGTGTTAGGTCATATTCTTAAACATTTGATGCAGAATATTAGATTTAATTTTTTTCACTTCAAATCCCTTTGAGAACGCTATACTGTAGTCATATAGGGCTGTCATTAAATGCGTTGAATTAACGGCTTCAAACTTTGATCTGGATTAGACACGTATGCTCATAAGGCTAAAAGATACTTTTTTCGTACTAGTAACTACTTGGGATATCGTAAGATATATTATATCTATAAAATATGGTGTTATTAATTTAAGAGGAACAATTCAGTTGCAGAATCCCAAGCACAGGATTCGACAATGCCTGCTGCAGGAGTAGGTATACCAATTACTATAATTGTCGTCATAGCACTCACTGCTTTAGTGACTGTTCTCATGAGGTAAGTGGGTTCAGAGAATTCTTTTGTGAATAAACACAGTAATATGTCCCCATACTATCTTTTTAGAAACTCTAGTATGCAGTCTTTTCATCGATTTCAATTTCCAAAATTTATAGATATATATTTTTTTTTCTAGAAAAGCAAGGCAGAAGAAAGCTGCTGATTTGGATCTTCCAGAGAGGAATAAAATTATATAGCAACGGTATGTTATACCTTTACATGTATACATCTATTAAAAACCTTTAAAAAATACTACATTATGCATATTGCCTTCAATTACACTTTTCAATAAGAAACAACATATGGATTGTCGTTTAACAGTGATGATACATAAATATTAACAGAAAATTGCATAACGAGGAAATGAAGCTAATTTTTGGAATTATAAAAGTTTCTCCAAAAATGTACAAATTAAAGATATGACAAACAGTCTCTATATTTCACTCTTCATGCAGCCCTGTCCGTTTTTTAAAATTAAATATTAATCTGTTGAACATATGTGTTAGAATATTAATTTTACCTTTGCTAGAAAATGAAACTAATGTTAATGTAAACAATTCTGCAAACGGTGGACATGTACAAGAAAATGCTGAACTAGAGTACATCGTGACAGACAACGGTCCAACAAACACACTCATCAAAATAGCTGATCTTGAAAATATAATCAAAATATTTTCGTCGGAAGAAAATAAGAAATTCACTGAGGAATTTGAGGTAAACCAGAATAAATCAAATTAATTCAAATATCTTTCCATACAAGTGTAGTACATGTATCAAAATAAATAATTCTTACGATGCCAGCTAAAAGTCAAGCCAAAAATATATTCATGAATTTGCAATTCAAATTCTAATTGTATCATATAAAAAAGCAAAAATAAAGTTAAATCAAACAAGTGAAATTGTACAATATTTAGAATTTGCCTAAGTTTAACATTTGTCATGAAATTTCCTCTAGTTCTTTTAGTTCTTGTTTCATTTTCATATTCCGAGTTTCTATTTCTTATTTTAAAAAAAATATCTTATGAACATGCTCATTTTAAGGACTGATGATACAAACAATTTTTTTCTTTGAAAGATAATTAATATCATGTCACAAGCTTAGAAAAGTGGACGGTTCTTAAAATTTTTCCTCCTAAGAACTGGAATATGAAAAAGACTTTGGAAGTATTAGTAATATATCAATGAAAAAACACGTATAGACAAATCACATTCAGTAAAGGTTTACAGGAGAAAATAAATTTCAGAATATGATATCTTGGCGCTAAATGTGTAATATAAACTTAAGAAAAATATACCGAGCCAGATGAATTTTATCAGGAAAAGTTAAATGGTAAAAATCAGCCTATGTGATATTGCCAATTTCTTGTCATTTCGATCTTCCTCTTAAAATTCATCTGGCTTGGTATATTATGTCGCAATGCGAATAAATAAGACTAAACAAAGTTAATGTTCATATTTATCGATATGTAAAACACCTCTCGATGATTCCTACTATTAATAAAGACAGAAGAAAAACAAACACTGGTTTTCTTTGGCCTAACTTGATGAACAGTGCCAGGTAGTCATCCAAGCAGAGACCCTACCTGTGACTGTCCAATAAGTTAACAATGAAGTGTTCGACAGTGGTGAAATGTTTTAAGCAAGTTATAAGCCTCAAACTGACCATTATGTCCGATATTAGGCTCTCCTCGGCGCTAACGAGCCTCGGGTTGTCTAATATCTGACATAATGGACAGTTTTGGCTTATAACCATTACATACAATTTAAAGTGAATATCTGAATATTATCTTTCTCTTAAGATGACCATTCCCGCGTGGTGTTGAATGTTTCCGCAGATAATGACTACATCAATGCAAATTACATAAAGGTACTATTTATTCAATATTTCTTTATTTGATATAATCTACAGTTTACCCATAAAAATATTTTTGTATCACTTATATGTACATTTAAGGACATCTGCAGCGTATATGTGCACAGACTCTACGATGTACCTTTTCCACTGATAATTTTTTTGTGATACATGTCAATTTTAGATACCATAAAACATTCTTACACAAAAAAATCAGCATACTTTAACAGGAGTTTTGTCCAGATACAAAATAATGATAATCCGTGTATTTTCATTAAAAAATCAACATATTTATAATTTTTGCTAATATTTCCTATTATTAAGGAGGATTCCATTACAACTAGGCACAATAAAATTGCAACAATGTCCTTTTTAATCGAAATTTCGGGGTACATCTGCGTTAATGAATGAACAGAGAATAAGGAATTCAAATGAATCAAAAATGTATTTTTGTAGGATGTAGAAGGGAAAAGGCGATATATTGCTACCCAAGGTGAGTCTCTCGAGGGTGTATCTTAATTCTAACACGTGAGGAATCGATTAGCAGCAAAACCATTTATTTTATCAAATATTATTTACACACTAAATTGACGTCAGATTCTTCCGTTATTTCCCGATCATAACAAGGAGCACACGGCGGGTGTGAACGGTCGACGTCGGTAGGAATTACTCAATCTCCATGGCACCTCATCCCATATCTGATGTTTTGGAGCTCTTCTCCTATTTTGTATTGTTTTATGGACTTTTGAGCTTGGCTACTGTGCGTTATCTCCATTTGTTATATTAATGAATAAAATAAAAGGAGAAATTGGAAGAAAAATAAGTAAGTATTAAGTAATCGAAAGTTAAACAAGGTAATTATATTTCTAGTCGACGGTTGACCTGCTGAAAGCTTTGGCTAGCTAGCTATCCAACAAAATTAGAATCAAAATTTTGTTTCCAATTATTTTCGTTAAAGAACAAAATTCTGCTTGCATTGTTAGAATGTAAAAAGATTTTTGGCAGTTTTCACGACAATAAAACATAAGAAAAGACAAGTCATTTGGGATTTTTTCTTAAAAACAAACATAATCATTATTAAGGTCTTCCGTTTCCAACGGAAGACCTTCTACTGATTCTGTTGGTAAAGATTATTATTAGGTCTTTCCACCTTTCTGTGGAAAGACCTCTTGAAATGCTTCTGTTTATTATTAGGTCTTTCCACCTTTCTGTGGAAAGACCTCTTGAAATGCTTCTGTTTATTATTATTATTATTTTTATTATTTTTCCGCTATGGACTTTTCAAACCCAAAGACTTATCAAAAAACTTTTTAGTTCATGATACTCGATATTAAAAGTTATTTCGAAAAACAACCCAACGTATATGACCTATGACCCCTTACGGAGTTCTTGCCCCTTTCATGTAAAACCTTGTTATCGCTACTCCTTCGAAACCGTAAACCGTAGAAATATGAAACCTTCACTAAAGTCTTCGACTAATTGAGAGGATTCTGGAAATCTATTCATTGCGAAAGTATACGGTGACCCCTTCAATGAATTATTGCCCCTGAAACTTTTTGAATTTTAGAAATGATTGAAAATTTTCAAAACAAGAAGTGATAAAGACATGGGACCAACTGCATAAGATTCATTGAGCTTTGACCTTAAAATGCATGTAAAGGTCAAAGGTCAAGGTCATTCCAAAATTGAAAAATTAAGCTCTTTTTATATCTTTTTTGTCTTTTAACATATACAAACTGTCTTAGCATCATTAATATGTACTTTTAAAGTGATTTTAAAGATTCAATTAGTATTGCATA